GAACCCGCCACCTTAGGTGTACATGGCTGGCGCCTTAGCCGGTTGAGCCACAGGCGCCGAGCCTAAAGCACAGGTCTTCATGCTGCTGACAAGGACCGTGTCACAGCTCTTACCTACAAAGCACTTTTGTACAAGTGAACATGAGGCATTTTATATCCCCAAAGCAAAGTAGGTCAACCACTATTTGCCACCCCTAAAATCATGCAGCATCACAATCATATATCATTACAGAACACAAATTGCTAGAAAAGTCACTTTCCAACCAAGGGATTCCTCACTTTCCTTTGCCCTTCCTGCTCCTCAGGAAGATCACTATGGGCATCAACACCAATTTCTCTTCTACTACCAAATTATAAAATAAGAGCATTTTCCCTCCTTGTCACCTCAGAAGTCCACCTATTTCTTAGTAAACTTTTATGCACCCTTAGCTTATAGCTTTTAACTTCCTCCTGTTAATCTTCTGGCTTTTGTTTCACTGACTCTTATTTCTTTACTGGTGACATGGAGCCCATGGGAAGGACAGACCCACTCTCCACACACAGGCACACTTGCCCCCGAAGACCTGCCAAAGGGCAACCTTCTTCCAAGTCCTGGGCTCTTTCCTGATGTCTATTAAAGGAGGCCACTGGGCTCATAGAGACTTGGGCTTGAGCTTCTAGGTTGTACCAATTATAATTTGCACACAGCAACTTAACTAAAATACTCTACTATTCAAAATACTCCTCTCATTAGTGTCTTTGTAACTAAAACATCATTTCCTGCAGAAGCCCTTTGTCTGCTTGTGTCATTCCACTTCTCTGATATATTTTCAGTTTCCACCCCTCTTTTTTAGTGCTTCTTAGTTCATTTCCCAACAATCAAAACCATGAGAAAAAACCTCAGTGATATCTTTCATCCATGAGAAAACTCTAGATTAACCTAGTCCAAGAAACTTATTTCTGATTAGTATCAATTACAAATGAAACGCTAATCTCCACATACTGCTAACCTTAGCTCAGGAGCACTTCTTAGTTTCATACACAGCAACACATAGCATCTAGAGCCATAATTTTATAAGCACTTGTATGCTTGTGACACTCCAAACTCCATCTCAAACCCCCAACTGTTCTCATGTGGTCCAGAACCTATTTTCCAACAACTTCCTCAATACTTTTGGCAGACTCATCCACATATACCTCAAAGTTAGTAAGCCTAAAACCGAATTTATTCTCTAACCTGAGCTCCTTTTACCGTATCTTACTATCTCAATAGAGGTTTGGCTACACCCTTCCAGACATTCAAATCAGAAAGCTCAAGTCTCCCAGACTCCCTCCTTCCTTTCTCTCATATCCTTCACTTAATTATTCAAATACTCATTCAAGAAATATCTAGGGCAGTGCCTGTGGCTCAAAGGAATAGGATGCTGGTCCCATATGCCGGAGGTGGCAGGTTCAAGCCCAGCCCCAGCTAAAAAAAAAAAGGGGGGGGGGAGGCACCTATAGCTCAAAGGAGTAGGGTGCCAGCCCCATATACCAGAGGTGGCAGATTCAAACCCAACCCCGGCCAAAAAAAAAAAAAAAGAAATATCTAGATAGGAACCATGATGTACCAGGTGCAGAGCTTCTTCTAAAACTGAACAAGCTCACACCAGGAACTTGGAAAGCTCAGGCTTCCAGAAGGATCACGTCAGCCCAGTGGAACAAGGCTGCAGTGACCTATGATTGTGCCACTGTGCTCCACCCTGGGTGACAGAGTGAGAACTCTGAAAAAAAATTTTTTTAGACTAAACAAGAATGGGCCTCTGTGCACACAGACGGAGCTGACAGTCTGGCCTCCTGAGAGTCACTAAATCCCTACAACTGTATAGTCTAAAAAATTCTCACATCTTCTCCCTGACCTTCATGCTCTATGTGGTTGATTTGGGCTAGACTGCCATTCAGTCCTGCCTGACTTTCATCTTGGCCGCTAGACAGAATGCTCTTGCTACAGTCAGCCTTATTCCAGTGTAACCAGAGAAAACTCCAGTTTCTTTGAAACACATCTCTAATTTCACTCCCTTTAACTCCACAGGGTTAACTACAAATTCCTGACTATGGTGTATGAGGTCTACAGACCACTGGAGCCTCTCCCCTGTAGACACTATAGTTGCAGTGATCTTCCTGAGGAGCAGTGAAGAATGGGAAGAAAGACAGGAGAGGAGACAGAGGACAGCTTCATCCCTGTCCCATACCATCCATCACCAACTCCTGCCAAATCTGCAGATCTTCTCATGCCTCCAGACTCTCTCATTTCTATGCACCCCTTCAACACTCAGCACCAGCGTCTCCTCCTCTATGAGACCTTAAAGGCCTAATGGATGTCCACTCCCCACTATGCCAGCCTGAGACCCTCAGCATTCACTGCAGCCTATCAATCCCTCTAACTGTTCTAAACCTGCATCACCTCTGCTTCCAGAGTGAATATTTGTGTATGCATACACACCATGCAGTTGCTGAGAGTAGAGCTATCTGCTCTTGTGTCTCCCTGACATGTGGAACAGAGTCTGATGAATAAAGCTGCTCATGCCATGTTTGTCAACTGCATAAAATTGCTTCCAATCTATCTCTTTCACTTGTAGGAGACCAAGCACCAGTCTAACAGAAGCAGCAACTAGTTCCTAAGGCCCTAGGAGTGAGACAATCTCCGAGCCAGCACGGAGATGTTTGGCTGCCCGGAGGCAAGTCCTCAAGCAGCTGCAGGCGTTAATGATATAAGATCGGTTGCTTGTTAGCAAGCAGGTGTTATACATTGAACATTTGTGGTATACCAAGGTGGGAGTTGACCCCGTGGGAAAAGAGCACGTAGCAATCATTAAGCCCATAGTTCCAGTATGTGGACCCTCACACCTGCTGTATGATACTTCAATAAAAGGCCACCACAGAGGTTGCTCAAGGCTCTCCCTGCACCTATGGGAAGCCCACCTCTTGTAGGCTTTTGTACCTTCACCGGGGTCCCAGCTGTTTTTATTCGGGCACCAACATTCACTGATAAAATTAACTACTGCTTCTAAGGAGACAAGTTCTTCTCTTGTCTCTAGAAATTCTCCAAATGGGTTTCTAACTATGCAATCATTTTTTTAGAGGTAGAAAAATACTTACTATAGAATTTTACTTCTAAAAATTATTAATGTTCTACAAAAAAAATAAAAAACCCTGTCTCTAAGAAACAAGAGTTTTAAAGACAGATATCCTATACTTAATAATGAAAATGTTTAGCACTGACTAATAATGACACACACACAGCAAACACTATAATATAAGGAAGATGGACATGAACCAAACATTCATGAAGCAGAGGACTACACAAACCCCAGGTATGAGATTATTTATTCTGGCATCCTGCTCCAGTCATGCTGGTTCTTCCGCAAAGATGGCAATACCTAACCTTCTGACCACACTGTCAAAACAAGATATACACATCCCTGACTCCCATTCAAGAAACAGCTATGAATACTATATAAGTGGTCTACCGTACACCAGGCACTAATCTAAGCACTGGGGATATAATGGTAAATAAAGCTAAGTCCGGGATTTCATGGAGCTTACATTTGAGTGGGGAAAAATAAACTAATGCGTGTATATGTCAGGTGGTCATAAACACCAGGAAAAAACATAACACAAGGGAAGGCACTTTCACGTGCACCTGCATCCAGTTTGCCCTTCTTCACGTCTCCATGAAACTTTCCTTAGTTCTCTAAGCAAGAATAAATTATTCACTGAAAAAAAAAAATCAGGATTTAAAAGGGACCTATCATGATTGCAAACTTCTAGAAACTCACAGTCCAAATGGAAAGGGAGATACATTTATTTCACAAACAGTATATCACACTACTTGGTGCTTTACCAAAATTAATGCACTTCTCATTACAATCCGAAGAGGCTGCTCCTCTACAGAAACTGAAGCACAGAAAAAGGTAAAGTAACATGTCTGTGATCACCCAGCAAGTTACTAACTAGCAGGGTCAGGAATGAACCCCAGTCTGTGCTCCTCATCATCATGCCCTGGGTTATGCCACCTAATCATCAAAAGGCAATCTCCCTAGACAATAATATATGAATAATGAGCCAGGGGAGCACAAAGAAGAAAAAGCTTCTTACAGAAGATGGACTGTCTGGAAACACAAGAAATGCCTTCTGTATCTCTACTGTGCAAACATTACGTGTCCAGCCCAGAAGGGCACAAGAAATACCTTAATGTATTCTAAGAGATAGCCTACAGTATTCCAGAAGGAGACAGCCCACTGTATCCCAGGAGACTGTCCACCCCAGCAGACATCTTACTATATCCTAGGAAATATCCTACTCTTACCTAAGACTCTCCTAGTAGGAGTAGCCTACTAGATCCTAGAAGGGCCATTATCCAATTTACTCACATCCCCTGCTAGCACCTGGCATGCCAGTACAAGGATGTCCAGCACTCTGGACAAGTCTGAAAACCGGGTTCAGTGGACGAAGAGCAAGCCTCATCACCTGTTCCCCGCCTCCAAGATCCCAAAGCCCCCGGCCCACCCAAACTTGGCCCCTGGAGGTCCTGGCAAGCTACCCCGAGGGTGGGTCGAGGCGAAAGAAAACCCTCCAGCCTGCTCTCGCTACCCCACAGCCCCCGCCCACCTTCCCCCACACTCGGGCCTCCCGGGACCGCCCTCCCCTTACTACCTCCGGGCAAGAGCAGGGAGGCAGAGGCGGAAGCGGCTTGGGTGACTGGGATGAAGGGCACAGTGAAGCTGAACTCCGTGGCCGAGGAGGAGAAGAGTAAGTTAGTGCCCGACGAGGAGGCGGAGGCGCCCCCGCTGCCACCGTTAGGTTTCCTCTCGGCCATGGCGGCGGTCTACCGTCCGTTACACGTCTCCAGGCAGCCGGTGAGGCACCACCGACCGGAAACCACTCAGCCTCGGGGCCAGCGCAGTTCCGCACTTGCGCACAGCAGCCAGAACGCCTAGCCGCGGGTCAGCTGCCCTCTCTCCCTTACCGGAGCGGGTGCCGCCAAAAATCAGCATGGCGACTCCGGCTTCAAGCCCAAACATAACACGAAACACGCTCAGCCGCTGCGCAGGCGCAGCTGGAGGCTCAGGGCCAAGGCTGGGACCGGAGCGTTCGGGAGCTTCCCCTGTGGATTCAGGCTCAATGCACGAACTGACGCTTAATCAGGGGTGGAGGGGGGCGCTATGGTCTTCCTAAAAGTACCCACGAGATGGGAGGCGCCTGTGGCTCAGTGAGTAGGGCGCCGGCCCCATATACCGAGGGTGGCGGGTTCAAACCCAGCCCCGGCCAAACTGCAACAAAAAATAGCCGGGCGTTGTGGCGGGCGCCTGTAGTCCCAGCTACTTGGGAGGCTGAGGCAGAAGAAT